GCGCACTTCAAAAATGCCAATGCCACATAAATAGCAACAACAACAACAGCTGCAACATTAGCAACATGTTTGAAATTTTGTTGCCTCTCGCTTGCTGCACGCATACGACACGCACGCTAGCTGTGCCACGCCCCCCACTCAACCCAATTGTCGGTGATTTACGCACACTGACAGCAGAGTCGAGCGCACAACATCATTTGCAGCTCATTAATCAGGTCTGTGTGGTTGCTGCTGCTGCTGCTGCGGGCCCTACGACGCAGTCGACCTGAAATTGTGGCAGGCTTCTTTCTGGCTGCCACATCGTGCGGCATAATCGGCTTTTCTTCATATTTAACGAGAAAATAAACACAGATACATATAAATACGTGATATATGTATATAAAATTCATATATGTATTTATATATTTATACAGAAATTTAGCAAATATTTGCGCAATGTAACAAAAACTGATTGAGACGCCTCATGCACAGTCGTCGCTGATATGCAGCTGAAGACTGAGAGGGAATGAGAAGGGTAGAGCAGGAGAGGGAGAGCGCGTTTGGGCAAAGGGGTAGAGTAAATGAGGCATTTGCCTGATATAATACCCCCAGCCAGTACATACACATACAAACATACATACATACATACATATAATAATATATGTACTCGCTGTAACTACATCAATAAACATGCGGTATTATGGCCCATGCCTAAGCCTCCTGTCGGAGTCGGCGTCAATCAGAGCAGCAATAAAACTTGATTTATTTTGGGTAGAGTAAAAAAAAAGCTGATGCCAAAACCTATGATAGATTTGAGTATGTGGGGCATAATTGAATCTGTGATGCATACACTGCCAGGCATCAATTTTTCACCGATAGCATGAGAGGCAATGTGCATATGGAATCATTTTCCCATAACAAAAAAATGTTTATTCATTTTTGTAATATCTACACAGATTTACAGAAACTGTGGGCTTTGAAAGCGTTGGCTGAGGTCTGTTCTAGCATTAACGCGGGGGCGGCTGCACCCAGACGTCTAGCCTGGCCTTTCGATGTGAATCAAGCAGCTTGAGATATTATACATACATATATTAAATGCCTTACAAGTAGAATCGATAAGATAAAGATATTCTAGAAGGAATGAGAGAGAGAGGAAGTAGCGGTGAAAGCGAAAGCAGGTAGATGCTACTCTAATATGTATATATACATATCGTATCTACACTTCATACATAGAAGACATATGTATATCATACTATATAATAACATATAGATTAAGATAAAACCTTTATTGATTCCAAAGAAACTCCTTTCTGACTCCACAAAGAAATAATATCTCGAAACATCTCTCACGCAGAGAAGAAGAAACTATTGTAGAGCTGACTTCCATGATTTCTTACACAAGTCCGAACGAACCAGGTAAACCTCAAAGGTTTGCTTGAAATACCTAAAAGAGTTCCTTAAAGAGAGCATATTCAAATTCTTTCCCAAAAATGTCTGATATATATTGCTGATTCAGCACATGACTCAGCTAATAAGGTTAAGTAGATCGTTTACTTTAACTGTACTCTCAGCCTCTTTCGTTTATATAACTCTTTGGCTCGTTTGCTCAAGGAAAGCCAAAAGTGTTGATACTTTGGCCTGCTCAAGTGTTGCAGCAGCTTCAAGGTGCCGTTATTCTCGTTTTATAGCCACCTCTGCTCGGCCACCTTATCTGGCCATTGTCTTTTATATCTGATTCGCTGATTTAATAAACCATCTGGTTTTGCATTCCCAACCGCGTTCAAAAACAAAAAACACTTCTCAGAAACGGGGCGCAACAATATGCAACTGGAAGCAGAAGCAGAAGCAGCAGCGGGAGCAGCACAAGAAGAGGAAGAAAATACTGAATATTCATTTACCTTAAACATGACCTGTAAACACTGATGATAAATGGGGTATATTGCACTAGATGGAGAATTCGACTCTATATACTGAAAGAAGTGTGGAAGAAGAGGTGAGGCGTACGAAGGATATCCTGCTCCTTCTCTATTTTGAGATTGGAAATGATCATCTATATGTAGAGCTCGCATTTCCCAAGCTGGGAACTCTTTTTTGCCTACAGGATATCTGCTGATCCAAGTGCGCGCCGCTGGCTCAAGCAGCGTTGCTTGTTGCTGTTTTTATGTTGCATGCCTCAGCGACTTTTATGCAGCAGCAGGCCAAGAGAGCTTGCAACACGGAGTCGCGGCCGGAATACGTGGCGTCCAACAGCGGATGTGGGCATATTTCAGCAGGAGATAAAACAGACGGTAATGATGATGATGATAACACTTGCGAATGGGCGGGGCCGGCGGCAACAGCGAAGGCAGCGTCGACAAAAACCAGCAACAGTGGTAACAAGAGCAGCAGCAGCAGCAGGAGTAGGAGCAAGAGCAACACCAACAAATGCAACAACAGTAACAACAGCAACATAAGCAGGAGCAGCAGTAGTAGTAGCAACAAATTTAGCGGTAACGACTACAACAACAGCAACAGCTAGGTTACCAGCAACAACAACAACAGCAGCAGCAGCAATAACAGCAACAGCAACGTCACTAGCAACAGCAGCAGCAGCAATTATTAGCAAAAAAACAGCAACAAATGCAGTAGAGGCAGCAGCAGCAACATTACTTCAGCAGCAGCAACAACAAGCTTAACAACAACAATAGCAACAGCAACTAGAACCAACAGCAACATAAGCAGCAGCAACAACAGCAACAGCAACGCCACCAGCAACAACAGCAACATGAAACAGCAGCAGCAGCAACAACATTACCAGCACAAGCAACAGCAACAACTGCAGCAGCAGCAGCAGCAGCAGCAGTGGCAACGGTTGCAACATTACTTCAGCAGCAGCAGCAACAGCAACGTCGCCAGCAACAACAGAAACATGAAACAGCAGCAACAGCAACAACTGCAGCGGCAGCAGCAGCAGCAACGTCGCCAGCAACAACAGAAACATGAAACAGCAGCAACAGCAACAACTGCAGCAGCAGCAGCAGCAGCAACAACAGCAACGTCACCAGCAACAACAGCAACATGAAACAGAAGCAGCAACAACAGCAACGTGAAACAGCAGCAGCAGCAACAACATTATTAGCAAAAAAAACAGCAATAAATGCAGCAGTAGCAGTAGCAGCAGCAGCAGCAGCAACAGCAACATTACTTCAGCAGCAGCAACAACAACAGCAATAGCAACAGCAACATGAAACAGCAGTAGCAGAAAAAACAACAGCAACAGCAACGTCACCAGCAACAACAGCAACAGTAACGTCACCTGCAACAACAGCAACATGAAACAGCAGCAGCAGCAACAACAGCAACATGAAACAGCAGCAGCAGCAACAACAGCAACATGAAACAGCAGCAACAACAACATTACCAGCAAAAACAACACCAACAAATGCAGCAGCAGCAGTAGTGGCAGCAGCAGCAACATTACTTTAGCAGCAGCAACAACAACAGAAATAGCAACAGCAACATGAAACAGCAGCAGCAGAAGAAACAACAACAACAGCAACGTCACCAGCAACAACAGCAACAGTAACGTCACCTGCAACAACAGCAACATGAAACAGCAGCAGCAACAACAGCAACATGAAACAGCAGCAACAACAACATTATCAGCAAAAACAACACCAACAAATGCAGCAGCAGCAGTAGCAGCAGCAGCAGCAACAGCAACATTACTTCAGCAGCAGGAACAGCAATCGGCAGTAACTTCTGCTCGTTAACATTAAGCGCATTTATGCATGCAATTTTTGATATAACAAGAGCTGTACTGGACGCCTAGCAAGTGCTCAGATAAAGATATGGCTGATAAGTTTGCAATATGGCTTTGATGGCTATACTATATACTAAATATCTGTATGTGTATGTGTGTATATAGGCAATCAATGCAGCCATTTGCTCAGTTATTGCCAAATTGAATTACGAGTTATGGCCCATTGATTTGTGCGCCTTTGTGCACTGCTCGTAATCATAAGCTTTTAATTTATGATGCGCTTTATGGTGGAACTGCTCCGTTAGTGGCCCTTCCTCTCGCCAAAAGTGAAGCTGTTTCAGTTTAGCCACCATCTTGAACGAAACCGCCAGCCAGCGGCTTTTGAAACGCCGTCAGCTCCAATGACAGTTGCCATAATGCCATTGATTATGTTGTTAAATTTAAGCCGACAGCAACAGCAACAACTACGAGAATCGATTATACATTAAAGTAATTACGGAGAAGAGTTCGTTGTTTTAGTTCCGATCCATGCATCGGCTCAACTTAATATATTATATTATTAGTTCAACTACTAATGAGCGAGAGACTAATGCATAATTCATAATGCTCAATGAGAGACGGAAGTACTTCCTTAATAGCTGGGAAAGGCAATCGATTCATTCAGAAATTCACTTCAATATGTAAAACGAACGTTCATTGCTCACTGATCCCTGAACAAGTTCAGTAAGCTCATTCAAATGAGCAGCTCCCTCGGAACAATGCGCCATAAAAATATGCCTATACATATATTAGAGCAGAGCCAGTTTAAATATTATTTATAAATGTAAAGCGTAAATCAATAAAAGTTTGCCGTATCACATTACTCTCTATGAAATCCGTTGCAAGATCTCAATTCCACTAGCATTTCAAGATAGAATTTCCAAAACAAAATCAGTTCATAAACAAAATTCATTAAAAATCGATTTGTTTTACATTATGAACAGCTCTCAGCTCTATATATATTACTATTTACCATTTTGCCATCTTATTTCATAGCTGAGCAGTCATGGACCTGAAACTATTTGCGCTGGTCAGCTTATTTTTCATATATAAAGGGGTGAATTCAGAACTAATATTAAAAGTCCTAAGAAGTAACTAACTAACAACTGAACTTTTGCAGAGCTGCGATCCCAAGCAGATATATAAAATCAAAAAGATTGAATGCCTAACGAGTCCAAAGTTTGTTTCGAGTTCGTTGTGCGTTGTGAAAGCGATAAATTGGAATAAGGCAATCGGTCAAATGGATTGCGAGATTATTCAACCCATACGCAATATGTCTGTGAGTAAAGGATAATCTTGACTTGAACGGAACCTAGGAACTGTTTCTTCAAATCTTGCAGGTTCGCTTGCGGGTCTACAAACAGGACTACAGCAATCAATATCAGCCCTTTCTAATCGATGTTGTATTGAACATGTGTAACGTGCTCTCGAAAAGAAACTTTTCGCCTTATGGCATGATAATTCGTAAGCTCGCTGAACGATTTACGAATTTCAATCACTCTTGCCCCTTCATAGGCCACATTATGGCCCGCGATTTGTACATCGATGAGAGCCTGTTGCCGGCATTCCCGCTGGGTTTCTATCAGTTTTCAATTTTCATAATGGAAAATCATATTAACGACTACGATTATATTGGGGAAATCAAGATTTTTGTCCATGCCATGGAAATGGTTCAACTGAATAGAAAGAAACCCAAGAACAACTATAATGAAAGTGTAAATCAGCCGCCAAAGTAAATCCAATGACAATTCTGTGAAATTTCAATTATAAGTTCCTGAGTTCTGAGGCTTTTTGAATAAAAGATTCGAGCTATATGCATAAATGACTTGTCTAATTGTGTTCTTATAGATTAAACAGCAAAGTCTATCGGTGTAAATTGCACTGAAAAGCTTTACCAATGAAAAAAAAAAAATGTGTAAAGCGAACCTAGAAAGGAAAAGCCTCGCCACTTGGGGTCAAAGTTTAATTGTGAGAACGAACATGCGTGGCCGGCGCTCGCAACATAAATCATTCTTTATTTCAAGCCGGTCAGACGCACACACATACACACACACACACAAATGCGTAAAGTTTAATAATGAATGGCGTTGGCCCCGGCGAGCATTAACACCTACCTTTGCAGGGTGTAGAGAGTGCGTGCCATCAAATGCTGCTAACAAATCAAGACTGTGGCCAAATGGAATTGTTTTTCTTTTTCTTGTTACTTCTCGTTACTTGTTTCTCTTTTCTTTTCTTTTCTTTTTTCATTTCATTTCATTTCGTTTGTTTATTTTTGGTCTCGTGTAGCTACACTGTAATTAATTATGGTGTTATTTAATTTAATTGCGTGTGGCATTTAGACGCAGTCAGTTGGCAAGTGCGTACAAATGGTTGGCCTATTAGCAGACGTTGCCTTTAAACCACACACACACACACACACACACACACACACACACGCACACACACACACACAGGCATGTGCACTTGCAGCACTCAAAGCTCAACCTCCTGGGGGTAGACAAATGTGTTTTCATGTTTTGGGAAAGCAAGTGAAACATTTGTCATTGTGTGCATTTAGGCCACATATGCTCGTTGATTATGTTGATCATGATAATGATATAAAAATTATGCTGCCAACCTGCTGTGAGCCATGGTGCGTATACGCATTATATGCTCATTTGTAGCGACTAAGTGCGAGCATTTTGACTCCCATCAAAAATACATGAGCTACATACAAATATTGTCGCTGTTGTTGTTGTTGTTGTTGCTCTTGTCATTTCGAGTGAAATCTATAATAACTCAAACCTGGCTGAATAGCACATGCATGAGGAAATATTTATAGAAAATGCTTCCTGGAATACCCTCAATAGAATTTGTAAGAGTTTCATGTGAGTATATTAGCGTAAGGAATAGAACTGGGGGACAGAAATCTCATAGAGTAGCTCAATCTTTATTCCTAGAAATATGAGATACGCCAGAGTCTAGTCTGAAAGTGTTGCAATCTCACAAGAAATTGTTGTAAATACCAAATTAATCTATGTAGAATGATATATTTCTATCATTGTTTCAATTTATTTCTATTTTATTCATAAATCGAAATTTTAATTTTCAATATATATTGATATAATATTATATAATATTATTATTAGTTTTTAAGCCAGGTTCTTTTAGTATAACCCAAGAACTAATGGAGCTAAGCATCCACTCGACAACAACAAGAGATAGATTGATCATAAATCTTCTTTTAAACTTAGCTTTAACTGCTACTAATTATGCACATAGAGCATTTGCTAGCCCGGCATACCCCACTTGACCTTTCCGCTGCCTGATTTACACATACAAATTGCAGAGAGAGATGGTTTCAATGGCTTTCCATAGACATGGGATAATGCTTGTTTATTTATTTTTGTATTTTTTATTTCTCCCACTCACATGGATCAGTTAACGCTTGCCAAAATGACAGCCAGTAAACAACAATAACAGCAACAACAAGTGAAAATAAACCAAATAGCAGCCAATCAACACTTGCTACAAATCAGAGAAACTACAACAACAACAACAATAACAACTTTTTGATGCGGGTCATGTGGAAAATTGGGGTTGCATTTTCCTCTATATACGTATGTGTTATTTTTTTTTTTCCTGCTCTCGTGCTGGCATTTTAAATTAGCGCTAATTGAATCAAGCCAAGAAGTGTTTTCGTTCTCGTTCAACGTCCAGCTGTCTAGCCCGTCCGTTTGTCCGCTTGTCCCTCTGTCAGCCTGTCAGTTAAGTCAGTTAAGTCAGCTGTCACATGTGCAAATTTGCCGAATAAGTTTTTTGACAGCCTCGAAATCCCCGTACATTGGCATTCGCATGTAAGTCAAGCTCGGGTTGCCGATTCGACGCGAAGGTTCTTTAATTTCTGGATTCTTTAATTCGATTAGTTTGGGATTGTCATCGGTGTTTTACTAATGAGCATTTGCAGGCCGAAAAGTGAACATTATTTACGCATTGATTAAGAATATTTTAATGAACTCTAGCAGGAGCTGCTCGACTACAATACACCCTGAATACCTTGAGCAGCTCTTTGAGAGAGTGTGTTCCGAATTCGAAGTGCATACGAGATAACCTCAAATGACTCAAGCCCGATTGAGCAAAGGAATTTCATGGACAGAGTTATCGATAATGCAAGCAGATTGGACTAGAGCTCTATTACTCTAGATCTTATAGATCAAAAGATGAGAGGCAGAAAGTAAGCCGCATGGACAGTAGAACAGATGGATTGTAAAACACATTCAGATCGAGTCGTATACTAGATCGTACACAGCTGCCTCTTATACCTCCCTCTTAAGAACTCACCTATTCACCCTGTTTGTCTCTGGCTTCTAGGGTCCAAGCATAATTGCTTTTTGATTAATTGAGTCGGCTTAATGATATTGCTTGACTGTCAGCCCAATTAATATAATATACAATTATTTACTTTACTCATTGGTGCTCAAATATCATTTAGCCTTCCATTGCCAATACGGCTAAAAGCCTGCAAGTGTCTTGGACAAATATGTTGAGCATTATATCTGATACAGTTGACGGCCTCGCTTCCAATTCAATTACATGCCCGAATTTCCATTGTTATCTTTAATTTGCTTTAATGCGTGTTTAAACTACTCTCGACAGCTCACACAAATTTAGGGATAATTTTATTTAATTTGCCTCATTTAAAATGCATTTAATGTGCATATGTCACATGCTAATTTATTTAAGTGTAAAGATATAACTGTTTAATATTTCAATTAGCACAAAAATATTTAGTTTACATAAAAAAAAAATTTAAATAAATAAATAAAGAGATGAAAAAATTGCAATTGCAGTTGGTGTTAAATGCGAGGCAAAAGTCGAGTTCTGAATGCGCTTGAAAATAGGAAAAATATTATAAATACGACCTGAGTAATATCTATAGATATAGAGAATATACAGAGAAAGATATCTGTCTAGATCTCTCACTATTTTTATTAAAGATTATTTAACAGACTCTTTTCCATGAGTCAAATGGAATGAATTCATATATGAATATTTAATATATATTAAACAACTAGCTAAAGAGCAAATTATCCATTGAACTCACTGCAGAGTACTCTCTTTTAATAATATGCTCTAATATATTTTTTATACGTATAAATATATCAAACATTATGATGTTCTAATGGCTCATCTGTTGAATTAACGAGCCATGAAATCAGTAGAGTAAAATTGAAAAAAAAAAAAAAAAAAATTAATAAATAGAAAGATTGTTGCCTGACTTCGTAATACCTGCATACACTTAGTAAAATGAAATATAATTATATATCACGAATATATATGCATGTATGTAAATATATTATATGACGATTCGACAAATCTCTGTAGAGACCATCCCGAATCTCTTCAAATTTCTTATTAGACGTCTTCGTCTGACTAACTAATCATATCCAAATTTCAATTTCTAGCACTGTTATAATTAAACTAAAGTAAAACCTATATACTCTTTTGCTCACTTTATGAACTAGTATAAATTTGTTGTGTGCAGTCAACTGTTGAGCAACAACAATCTATTAACTATAGCAAACGCTGTTGTTGCTGTTGTTGTAGGTACTTTAGTATCTGCTACAGTTGTTGCTGTTTTAGGTGTAGTGTCGTTGTCAGTCGTTAATTTTGCGCACGCCTAATGAATTTTACACTATATATATATATAATTTTTTTTTTTTTGCCATCGTTAGCCATATTAGCCAATGCCTTCTTTATTTTCTGTTGGACTCCGTCAGCTCATAAATATTTAATGCAAAATAATTAACAGAATCGCGTGAACAGCGGCAGCCGCTGGAAGGATGGATGGAATGATTGATTGCCTGCTGCCTGCCAGTGGACAATCATAAAATTTTCGTGAATCAAGTTTAATTAATTAAAGGCGACAAAATGGCGGCGCCTTGCGGCCCAGAGTCTGGACAAAGTCTGCAACGGGATAATAGTTCAGCCCCGCCGAGCCCATTGGCAACTGCCAAATGCCAACTTCCATTTGCCAGCTGCCATATCCGTGTCAATACTTCCTGCAGCTGTTGCTGCTGCTGCTGCTGCTCGGCCGTAAATTATGCAATACTTTTCCGCCAGAGGGAGTTGGGTGCACGTGTCGCCAGTTGGAAACCATCAACTTCTGTCGTCAGCGGCTTTTGAAACGCCGTCAGCTCCAATGACAGTTGCCATAATGCCATTGATTATGTTGTTAAATTTAAGCCGACAGCAACAGCAACAACTACGAGAATCGATTATACATTAAAGTAATTACGGAGAAGAGTTCGTTGTTTTAGTTCCGATCCATGCATCGGCTCAACTTAATATATTATATTATTAGTTCAACTACTAATGAGCGAGAGACTAATGCAT